TGTCTGTGCTGCACATGCACACTGAGCTCTTTGAGCAAACTGGCTTGTCAATGTGGCTCCTGCCAGAGTCACTGCTTTGGTGCACCTCTGGAACCCAGGGGGTGAATGCTGCCACTGCTCTGCTCCCCAGCCTTTTGCCCACTGCCAAATTTGGCAGCAGGGGAAAAACAGGGTAAGTGGCAGAGGTGCGCTGACAAGCTGATGAGCTTAGAGAGCTCACTATGCCTATTCTGCAAAGTCAAAGGGGTTGCAGCCTCATCCCCAAATCAGATACAGTCACCCTCAAAGGTCACAAGAGTGTCCAGGCCAAAGGATACAAACTATTGCTCTCTCTTCTTGACTTGATGTAGAAATGCGCCTGGGGTATGGAATTAGTATAAGGTTCACAGTAGGTTTCAAAAGGAATGCATCAAATGTTTAAAAATCAGAAAATGTGGCTAAAGGAAGTAATTTGTACTGTAGTTATTCAACCCTCTAAAATTTGGAAAATATCCAACTCATCTGTGGATTACTTCGGTTCTATACCAACTCCACTTGTGACTCATACTTCACTGCTCCTCTGTTTTTCTTCTTGGCAGTAAAGGTAACTTACAGCATTCTGAATTCATCTCTAGCGTAGAAGGCAAAAGCTAATAGCCAACACAGCCAAGTGTGAAACAATTCTTCACTAAAAATTCCATCTCTGTGTTTTTACCCCCACTGCTATGATTGCATTCAAACAGCTGTAGGCTTCAGTAATACTGCAGTATTTTGCATTCAGTTTGTAATTAAAAGATTCTCATAGCCAGGGAACTGAACAATGAGTTTTTTCTCCTAAATAAAAAGTGGTTCAACTGTTAGTGAAATGCTATTAATAGCAACAATTGTGTAGATGCCAAGTGGGGAGATTCAGTAAGTGTGAAATAATAAAAAAACCCATTAGTCTGTTACAGAAAGAACAAATGTAAAATAATAAATCATTAAACAAACAAGTTTCATTGCTTCCCTCTTTTCTTTGCCTCATTCATTTTCCATAATAGGTATAGCAATACTTTTGTAAATAGAGGAAGATGAATTTTCCCTGGTTTAATTTTTTTTCTGTAATAAACCATCAGTAGTTCATAGATATGAGGATACCAGACATTTAATTTAATTTTAATAATTAATTCTCATAAAATTTATACTTTACCCTCCCAGGACTTTACTACTATGAACAATCATATGTTGCCATGAATTCATATAAACTTCATGTATTCGATTATTGTACCATAATGAGATACATTAAGGAGGTTTCGAAAGGGACCACATTTATGCATGTACAGATATAAAACAAATACATAAGGGCTGCTTGCAGACATTAACAAAAAAACTGGTGCTTTACTTTAAACTCAGTGGGCTCTTGTGCTAAGCCCTACACCTGCCCAGAAGAGGCAGTACTTTAGTTGGCCCCAGCTCGCCCGACATCTGTATAGGTCAGGCACTTTAGTGGGGCTTTTTTTGTTATTTTATCTAATAGCTAATTGAATCAGCTTTAGCTAAAAGTGCCAAACAGCACCCCTGAAGTGCGCAATCTACACAGATGCTGCAGGGCCGGGTCGAAGTAACATGCTGCTTTTTCCACTAAAGTGCATTTTGTTTGTTTTGGTTTTTTTTAACATCAGCAAGCAGCCAAGATGCACAAACCTCTGTTTATGCACACAGCTGTTGAATATTGCTGATAGATCACCTTCCTTTGACAGGTATCACAATAGCATGGAGTGAATTAAACCGGTTCTACTAACTGTAATATGGGTAAAAGAAATTGGCTTCCTATGCAGCATTACATATCTTACATTCTTTGAGTTAGGGGAGAAGAAATAAATACTCGGTATTGCAGAAAAGTATAGTTATATCCTTGATATTGCGATAAAGTGGATATCTTGGGTCTCATGTTCTAGTCTCTAGGGCTAAGGAGAGACAGTCAAAAAGCCCCAAGATGACTCGCTTCAATCTTTGCAGGTTTCTCTAAACTGTGTAGATTGAACCGATAATAAAATGCACTGATGTTCACTTTTGAAACTGGAAAGGCAGCCAGACCCCTGCAGCGGCCCATATCAGGAGCTAGGGGCACTAGAGCATGCCTCCCAGCCTGCTGGCCAAAGCCAAAGACATCCAGATTCAGCCCAGGGCTCCTCCTTGATTGGCTGCTCAGCTTATGCCCCTCAACCCCTTGCTATCCCCAACTAGGGAGAAACAGTCCCTCCAGCCTGGGGCTGGTTGGATCCCCCCAGCCTCAGTGGGGGTTCCCCACCCCTGGCACGTTCCCCGAGCCCTGCCCCTGGTGCACAGGGGATTCTCCCCTCCCAGCCCCCAGTCTGGTCCGGCAGGTTTTGGCCCCACGCTGGGCTGACAAGCACAGGCAGAGGCTAGAGAGCTGGAGGCTTTACTGCCTCTGCTCTGTGACATCTGTGGGCAAGGCAAAAAGTCCAGGGGAGGGAGCTTTCCCATCCCCATGCCTTGCAGACCTTGGTTGGGGGCCTGGTGCTGGGCTGGGGGAGTTGTGTTCCTTGGCCCCGCAGCCACTCAGACCCAAGGGCAGCTGGCGAGGGTTGGGGCTAAGGTGATTCCAGCCTGGTTAAGGGTCTGTGGGGGACGATAAGCCCCACAGAGGGTGCTTTCCCTCCCCTTGTGCTGTGCAGACCCACGTTAGAGGAGCCTGGGGTCCATTCCCCTGCCCCTCATCCCACCAGGCTGACAGGCGCAGGCAGAGGCTATGACGCAGAGGCTTTACTGCCTCAGCTCTGAGAAAGCGGGAGAGTGGGGCCAGCCCTGCTTTGCTGGAGCAGACAGCACAGCCCAGGGCTACAAAGCATCCTGGCATGACTGTGAGTTAACTTGAATCAGGAGGGGATCTGGGACAGAAGGTCCATTACCCAGTTTGACCTAAATCAGTTTAGTCTCTTACGACATTCATCCAGGTTGATCTTAAACCAGTTTCAGTGATTTTGAAAGTAGTGTATGTGTGCTGAGCTTTTGTTCTATTACAGGTTTAAATTGGTTTCTGATCACTTAGACTGGTTTATGTCAACTTCTGTGCCTAGCCCCAGAGAACAAATTATGCTAAAATCACTCTATTTTCATTTTCTGTATAGTGCCCATATTTGGCACAGGGAATTTTTCTCCTTTATGGATTAAGGTATACAATTTGGTTTCTAGATACTGTGCTTTCCCAGCTGGCTATCAACCATTTTATACAAATACCATGTCAGTATCACCTTGTAAATGGACTAATGTATTCATCATATAGAACTAGGGTAGTCATTAATATTCTTACAATCACCTACAGGCCAGATCTTGGTCAAATGGCCACTGCATTCTAGTTGTTCGTTTGGTAAGTATACTTAAATAGATTAAAAAAAAATTAAATAACGTTTATTTAATTTTAAATACATCTTATCATTTTAAAAATGTTTGCATGGATACTGAAAATCAGCGCTGAAAAGTCAGTGTTACCATATGGAACTTTTTATAGACCTCATCAAATAGTGGATATGTTCATTGTGTTAGAAGTAAGCACTGATATGAAATAATCTTTTGGACTGTTACAATGAGGCCAGGAGGCCTCAGCATCACAAGACAGGTGTACAGCAACTTTTTACTCCAGGAGAGTCAACTGAGTCTTCTGCACTGCTATGCCTGGTATATAACATGGCATATGCCCACGTTGGAAGAGCTGGCTGAACCACGGGTGAAGCAGAAGCTGAATAGGAAGTCTGAAGCCACTGCAGATGTTGAGATCATCTGGTACCTTCTAGGTATGAGCTTCTTTTTACCCACAAAATGGCATAGCCTTGAACTTTTTTGGATACATGTATAAATACAGATTTTTTATTTTACTGTACTCCGTTGTTTAACATTAAATTAAATTTGAAAAAAAAACAAAGCGTATGGGCCACCTCACTTTGTCACTGTGAAAATTACTCTCCACTCCTCAGCCCCCTCCAAAGCACTATGGTATGGAGCAATTTGGCTAAATTCTGATGATCTAGAAAATCAAGAGAGAAGGACTTTCCCCCGAGTTCCCAAATTTATGAAGAGATATTAGTTGTTACTCATTGAAGTGGGCACATGATTGCCAGTATACTTCTCCATAAGCAGCTTCAATTTGACTTAAAGTACCTAGCCTCCGTTTTGAACACTGGGTCATGCTGCATTTAATCCAAGCCATTGTGCTTGCATCTTGCATTGTGTTTTTGCCCTGTTCTTATTCATTCATCTAAGAGGCATTTATGTCAATGTATTATAAAAACTGTATTTTGGTTTCCAATTTCCTTTCTTCTGTCTCATGAGATTGAAAGACTCAGACCCTGAGAAGCAGAGTCATGCTGTTTCCACCTCTCTTAAGGATCAGTCATGAGCATTTAGGAGTAACATGTGATGGTTGGGACTGTTCTCTGCCTCTTGTTCAAAAATGGCTCTTGATACTCCACTGTGTCCAGAGGCAGTAAGACATGGGTATGCCCTGACTCAGTATATTTTTCCTCTTCATTCAATATTTTTGTACTGTTTTGAAAAGGAGGAGGTGGAAAGGAGGAGGTGGAAATAGCATTGTCTATAAGAAGCAAACAGAGCTCGGAAGAGGCCAGTGGTAAAAGATAGGTACCCAAGGACAATTTGGGAAAAGGAGGTGAGAGTTCTGTGTCCTTCCTGTCTTTTTCCCTTTATCCCTAGGTACTGGGGAGAGGGGAATGTGTTCTTTACCCTTTTCTATGCACCGTAGATCTCTATGGTCTGTAGACCATATCTGTAGATGGAGTGGAGTGCTACCATGCTCTGCCTAGATCTTGCTTTCTCAGAGCTGTCCCTAGATATTCTGTAGCCCAAGACAAGGATCTCTGCCATCAGATATGGAACTATAAGACTTTCAGGATCATATACAGTAGCGTTGGGGGGAAACGAGAGGAAAAATAAATCTCAGGTGTTGAACAGAAGGAATTCAACAGCTTTTGTTTGTTTGTTGTGTTTGTTTGTTTGTTTGAAAGATACTGCTTGTGCTGGATGCCAAGTGTGTGGATTCAGCTTCCTTCTGGAACCTGGACAGGTTACCCCTGGGAAACCTTGCACTGTGCCTGGCCCTGCAGAGAACATGGAAGGAGAGAGCATCTATGAGATTGATTCTGAAGATGGGGTTGGAGGTAAGGGTTCCTGTCACTTTTACTATTTATTTACTTTTACCCCAATTGGCTGATTACAGGAGTCTGTACAGGCAGCTGGATTCCAGGTACCACCAAAAGCTTTTAAATTTGTCCTCAGTTGTTGATTGTACTGTGTCACTTTTTAATACATGCAATAAATAAAGGTAATTTTTGCTACATCACTGGGTTCTGTCTTAAATTAGATTTTGAGTTCTTCAGGAGAGCTTTGTTAAGTGCTAGTCAATGATGGGAAGCTTTATGCAGTGCAGTAATACAAATAATATGTTACTTTATTGTGATCTAGACACACATTTGATAGCATTATTCTGGAGAGTGTGGGATCTGGTCCTACTCATACAGAGCTTTGTGTTTTGTCATATTTCCAGCAAACTGACAGAATCCTTAACATAGAGGCCTGTAATGATTTCTAGGAATAGGAAGAGACTTATTCCAACAGGATTGTTTCAAAATAGTTTTCATTTCAAGAGACTGTTAAAGACATGCACTTGCCTAAAGATGGTGCCATATCCTGTCTGCTCAAACCATGGAGTAAAAGAGTTTTTAAAAGCCACTTTGCTGTTCATCTCCTAATATACACTAAAAAAGTCCTTGCTTGCAATTCTTCACCTATCAGATGATATGGGGAATAGCTAAATGGTCTTGTAATTTAAAATCTAAAGGAGCTCAGATGTCTTCTTTGCTTTTTTTGCATTTCTTGAATGTGGCTTTGGGTAAATCAGTTGAGTTCTTTGACTTTTCCCATTAGTACTTCTGTATCCAGATTATAGGAGTTCAGTGCTTTTAGATCAAACAGGGGGTTCTAAAGAGGGAATATTAAATTCTTTTGCAGAACATTTTACAGTTTTATTAACTCTTTTTTGTATCTCAACTTACTCAAATTTGGCTTAACCATATAGAATTAATCATCAGTTTTCATAAGATGATGCTATTCCTTACTAAAGAATGTGAACACACCTGAGGGAGGAGTGTATTGCACATTGATACTAATGGGTGTGACGTATGTTATGTGTGTTTCTGATTAGAAGCACAAGTTCTAGATTGCAGTGATAATGATTTAGTGATCTGAGGCAAATAGACATGTTGGACTTCAGAGCTGCATCTGTGGATCAAACCAAAGTAAACTAACTGTGTGATTAAAGTGGAATCAAAATGAGCGATGTGTTTCATTGATATTCAGTACAAGACCTTTTGGTATAAACATATTTCTTAAGGGCTAATTTATTTTAATATAAAATGGGTCTAAGCCTAAGAGAGTTTACTGATGCTAATTGGAGTTTCAAGTGCTTTGCAGCCATTTGAGGCCAGTTCCAAAATGTTCACAAAATGACCCTCTTACTCAATATTTCACTCACCCACATGTATGTGTGGGAGTTCCAGAAAATATTTTCAAACTTGTGAGCTTAAAATAGGGCTTTTAAATTTACCTTTAGGGATCTCTTGTTATCTCCTCTGGAAGGATCAGTACCTGGGGGAGCCTCTTCATGGATTTGAATTCTTAATTTTAGGCTTCAAAATGCCCAAAAGCTTGTCTAACATTTTTCCCAACTATATGGTGGGTCGAGTAGAAGATATTGCCAAACAAATATTGCTTCCCACATGTTCCCTGGACCATCATTCACCACCGCAAAACAGTACTTTAATTTTAATGCAGTTCAAAAAACTGCATTGCACATACTCTGCTCAGCATCTTTACTCTGAAACACCATTTTCTCATTCAGTAGATTTTCCACTGGCCCTCAGAGAGAAGTTGGAGCAGGGTTTCCAACCCTGCTACAGTACTTGTGTTCTCCTTGGTTCAGGGAATGCCCTCTAATACCTTTGGGGTACAGACTACCCCTCAAAGGACTAGGGAGGAGATTAAACCATTTTGAACTCTGCATTGGATATTAGAATTGGCCCACAGAAACAGAGCATGTTCTAAACCCTCCAAAGGGGAATTAAACAGCATTGTTCCCCAAAAGCTCAGGGAGGCATCGTACCTTCCTGAGACCCAGTGACTTGATGTCCTCTGAGGGTGCGTGCTTTTCACTGTGTTCATCATGGACCTGTACCAGGCAGGCATTGTTGGCTTTAATTATTGATATGTGAGTGAGTGTCCCCACTTCTGGTGTCTCAGCCATCTCGACCTGTTTCTATGAGAAAAGTAATCAGATGGTTTGGGGAAAAAAGATTTGTTAATTTTCAGGAATATTTTCAACTGTTCCCTGAGAAACTTGTAATCCATTCTAACATATGCTGATAACTTTCATGTGGCTACCAATCTAGCCACATGAATCATCTCTCTTATCGTTCAATCAGTTCCATTATTAGAGTCTTTTAATGTGTGATTTTATTTGTTTTAAGTCTGCCTGGTGAACATAAAAAGGCAAAATCGATGCTGTGGATAAATGTTTCCTTGCGGGTGGCATACTGTAATTTAATAAGTATCTGAGGATTTGGTTTTGCATCTCAAAATCAAGCACCATGGGAAGAAGAGTAGACCCTCTCAATCCCTGGTGTAACTCCACTAGCTTTTGTGCTGTTACACCAGGTCCAGGTTTGGCCCAGTATTTTCACTTGTGGCTTTAATTCAAGGAAAAAATCCCCACTGTACATTAGCTAGGTAGCAAGTCAGTTGCTATGGTACTCAGCATTTTTAACCAATCAGCTTTCTTTTGTGGTGATTCAGGCCAGAGTAACAAATCAGTCACACTGCACTAGAGCTGAAATCAAAACGGCAGCTATTGTTGGTTTTAAAGCCAACAGAGACTATGAGAACAGAAATATTTTGGTGTAAGAGTATAGGTACAGTGTTGCATGTATACAGTATATTCTGGAATATTTGAACTGAATTTATCCTATGAATGATATATATATTTAAAAATAATAATCAATTTGGAGCTAATGGATTACATTCTCTCTTGTATATCCTTCCATGGGCTTCAATAAAATCAACATAAAAACTGATCAAGAGATTTTCTTGTATAGCCATCTGGAGGATTATTTTCTTTTTGAGTTACTATATAGCACTATATTACTGTCACAGTAATGCTTGCTAATAGAAGGTTCCCAGACTGTGCTGCTTCTCTGCTTCTTTCTTATATTATCTGGCAAATCAGAAGATGCTGCTGAACTGCTGCAGTAATGTATTTTTAAAGTTCTGGCTGTAGAGTAACTCAGTTTTTTTTAATTTGATTTGAGAAATGTAGTATACTAAAGACAAAAACAGATATCAAGGACTATGATATCAAAAGTCAAATGAAGTACCCCTATCATTAATATATGCAAAAGTGTATTTGATCGTGGAAACAAACAGCTGACAAGCAGGTTCCTTTAAGGGAATAGGTAACCCAGCAATGTTGCATATCTTAACAGCATTTGATACCTTCTACCACAGAGTCCTCATGTCCCAGCTCTTTGAAATCCTGTGCTGAGAAGCCTTCACTCATTGCCCTCAGGCTGCACCCACAGACTTGTGATGTGGATATGCTTCTCTACTTCTGAAGCCCCTGCCTGTGGAATCCCACAGCTCTGTCCCTTCATATTGTGACATCTGAATGAAGTCACTATGAAATCACTAGTGAACAATCACAGACTGAAATTATAGCAGCGTAGAAATGAAGTTCAGGTTCCATTAGAAGGAAACAACACTATCTCCCACCTAGTTAAAGCTTTGGTTGAGCAGGGCAACAGGATGAAATGCACTTGCCTAAAATAGTGCTGGTGAAGAGCCGGAAGCATCTTCCTTTGCATTGTTAAGAAAGTCAAGTCCATAGCTTCAGCAGATGCCTGGATGCCTCGCTGCTTCTGGATACCCAAATAGACAGACTCAAGGTCGGCAGTTTTCTTTCTGCAGCTGGCAGAGGGGACTGTACATTCTCCCATGAGATTTAGACTTAGCATCATGACCTCCATATTTGATTCATGTAATTCCCTGTGCCTATTTAAAGGGATATACTTAGGTCTATACTCAGTTGACCATCTGCTCAACCACACAGGCGGCCTATGTCAGTTGTCCAAGTCTAGCTGAAGCTCTCTAGATCTTTATCCTTAAAGCCTTTCATGCGACTGGCCCATGTTGCTTGGGGAGCTGCCCAACACCCATGCAGTCATGATCTCCTGCGCAGTGTATATTCCACTAGAACAGTAGAACTGCAAGCTTTAAGAACAAAGCTTGTTTGTGCAGGACACCAGACTTTCTTGGTTTCTGCCCCAGGGCTCTTCAGTGCACTCTCAGAAGAAATCAGGAGCACAAACCACAGCACATTTCAAATAACATATCCACAAAGGATAAAATAGAACAGAGTCCAGTCCCTGCAGAGTGTAGGAAGAGGAACAGACTATGTTAGATATTTATAGACTGTCTCTGTGTCCAGTGGTCAGTAAAATGTAAACCTAAATTATCTGAACCAAGCAGCAGGATTGAACTGCTCCTCATAGTGTCTCCCACTAATCTGGCTTGTTTAGTTAAATTAATTTCAGGTCAGTTGCAATTTATACTGGTTGTGGGTCCATGCCTTAAGAGAGAAGCATGTATGTGTTTGATTGACATCTTCCTACTTTTTGTAAAATTATGCCCATGCACTGTTTTGGCCACAGAAGACATGAACTGTTTTTGAATACTAGTATCAAAGGCAATGGAAAGATGTTTGTGTGAAATACTCCAAATTTCCCTTCAGTTTGGGGTGCTCCAAATTCAAAGGGCTTCAGGCCATGGACAGATGTGCAAGCCCCTGCTTGAGTGCTTTAAAATGGCTGTGACAGCACGCTGCAGCATTTTTTCTAGCCAAGGGGCATGACAGCAGGTTGCTGAGTTCTGCACCTCCATCTCTTTTTACCCCGTTCCATGGAGGGCTGGCGGGGGGGTGGGGGGGATGAGAGGGTGAGGACAGGGCAGACAGCCAATGTGCAATCTTCTGTGCACTTGGTAACATTTTGAGTCATTGTTGGAGATCTCTGTACAAAAATAAGACATAAGACTGAAAACACAAATCACGATA